ACACAAAAATACAGATTTTAATTAGGGAATTTGCTACGCATTAAGCATAAAAAAGTACATATAAAATTAGTATTTGAAATCTTGGTAATGTCATCAAATTTTATCATAACAATTTATATTTGCTTGGACCGAAGATGACCCAAAATGCTGTCGAAATGACGGCTTACTATATGAAATGAAGTATAGACGATTTAGATTGGTTATAACAAAAATTACCAAAATAGGCCACGAACTATTGATACATAAACAGCGTCAAGCGTTTAAACAATTCATGATGGTTTGCTGAATAAATGTTTTACTAAAATGCGTTATCGTTTTATTAGCATAAACTAACGTTTTGGAATCCAGACAGAAAAATACAAACTTATACAGCTAACAATTAAATTGAATACGGCTGTTATAAATAAGGTGCAACACCAACGATAACTAATTTGTAAATTACAGTGATGTGTTGGTACGTAAAAATTATTCTTGCTGCTACCAACGGTTGGTTCTAAGGAAAAGAACCAGTACCAAAAAACAATGTTTACAGTTAAGAACTATAGTACATCTGACAAATTATATGCGTTAATCAAGTCCCGAGGTTATTGATCTCTTGGTTTTGGATTTTCCCGTAAAAAGTTATCGGCAATGAAAGTTATTTCCCATTAATTGCTTTATTTGTAAAAAACTTTTAATGTTGACTTATCGGTGTCAGTTTAAAAAAAAAACAACCTTATACAAACAACTTTTTGTTATTTAATAGATTACGTATTCTCTAAACAATGATTGGTATAGGCTATCTAACATCAAGAATCAAGAACATTAGAAGGAAATGTGAAAAAAATCACACAACGTTGGGTTTTTGGACGTTTGTAATTTTATTTCTTAAGTAGGTAGGCCGTGTATTCTAGGGAAAAGTACCAGTATCAAGTATCGTCGTCGAAAAGGTTGTTATGAATAATTGGGTAGGCGTACGTAACCAAGAGGCCCATCTCTTGAGTACGTACACCTACCCAATTATTCATATGGGCCTATTGGCTGTATGGTCCAGCGATTGCATCACACGGTGACTGGTGAGTAGGAACTATTGACTATATATATAGTCAATGGTAGGAACAGAAAGTGACACATTGGAAAAGCGAGTTTAGCATCATCCTTAAACCTCTGTTACAATCACCCACTGCAGTTGTGACTTTTTACTTTACACTTTACACAACTGCCATTGAAGTGCCGTCAATGAGTGGAAACCTTGTTTCTAAGCTATTGGCGACGATCATTATTACATTTAAGTTTCCCAGCCGTATATAACACTGATTCAAGGTCTTCTTTCTGGTTATCAAAACTCAAGAACAATTTTATACACAAAGAATCTCTGGTTCCTGACCTGGATGATGCCTAGTTATTTAATTTCATTTACGGTTACACTATTACACTATATTATTGCACTTGCGATTAATTAAATCCGTAATGTAAGAAAAACGTTTTTAATCTCACTTGGTTGGGATTTGCTTTCAAAACGTGATTGAAAATGGTTGCGGTATTTGTAAACAACATTTGTAAACATACCAGTGACAGCTAGAAAAAATAATCTTGATCCAAACAGCTGTTCGTTATTTCATAGATGATTATGTGATAAAAATTGGACAAAAACTTGACAAAAATCGCACAAAACTGCATTTTTGAACGTCCGTAATTTTATTTACAAAGTAGTGAGGCCATATTTTAATGGCTAAAGACACTCTCCCCAATCCAGTGAATACATTAAAATGACTTGGATCTTAATAGATACTCTCGTTTTCCTGGAGAAGATAGCGTAAAATGCCATCTTGAGTGTTACAGACAGACAGAAATGGAGATAAGACTTGTTTCTGCTTCTTTAAGGTATAAAACGTAAAAAAACCTAAAAATATATTATTCCGAACAATGTACAGACAAAACTCTAATTTTATTTATATAGATTTGGAATAATGTCTTAAGCATAAATAAATGAATGTTATACATTATTGTAAAGCATGGTTAAAGAAGGTACCGAAAATAAATAAATAAATAAAGGTCCATCACATGGGGTAGAATAAGGTTAAGCTAGTCAGGTTTGCCCCATTTTACAACTAAAAATCGTAATATTTAAGCTATTTCTTATTCGATCTCTTTGAACTTGGCATCATTGGATAGGGAACTAAAATTGCTAAATAAAAGTCTTCATGACATTTATTCATAAACTCAGCCATTTTTAAGTAATTTATGTTTAAAAATTTAAAGTGGCCACATTTAGAAAATAAACGTCTCGGAAAAATACTTTTTAACGTGTATTTATGCATCCTGTAAAGCTCCATGCCAAATTTTAACTTGATACATTAATCCATTACGGGAATAGAAATGTTTTTAAGTGAAAAAGACAAAACGGCGGATAGTGGTTAAACAAAGTTGAAATTTAAAAAAATTTACTGAACATTTTTGATTTATTTTTGTATGTAGAATGGTTATGTATAGCCAGTTCCGGATTTTTGTAACACCTATATATAAATACGGAGGGTGTATTTGCCCCTAGAGGTTTCGTTTAGAGGGTCCCAGATGTAGGTCTTACCATGAGACCTAGAGAAGGTAATCTTATTCCCTATATGGGGAATTTGCTAAAAGGAGGATGTGCAGTTATAGTTCGGCCGCTTAGAAAACGACCTGCGCGCTAATGCTAAACCAATGCTGGAGGAGGTCGCTTTCTAAGCGGCCGAACTATAGTTATTAATGCCCCCTTAGATGCTGATGTAGGCATGTTTTAGCTGCAGTAACCAAATCGGAAACAGAAACAACTACAGTGATAGCAGAATATACAGATCTAATTATCCTACTTATATATCATGCGAAGCTCTACAGCAAATCAGGGTCGGATTTCCCAATAGGCCCGGGCCTATGGGCGCATGGTCCCAGAGGGCGCACAGCCGAGAGTAATTTTTTTATACTTAGGCTCCCTAAAATAAAAAGTCATAGTTGATAAAAAAAACTCCAAATCATTGTGATTCTGAATTTTATAAGAAGAAATAATTGTTAGGAAATGTAATCTATTTTCAGAATCACGCATCAATTTCATTACAAAATTTGGAAAGGTCAAAGAACATTGGTTATACGGGAGTAGGCTCTAGGGATGTGGACGATGACGAGCGCCCAAGGGGTATGCATGCTGGCTCGGGCTCGGTACTATTGGTCAGATTGATTAGGGGCGCATGCATGCTAGACATCACTCTCACCTCAAAAGTTAAGTCTTTTGATTAGTTTACAACAATCTGCAGGATCAAGTTAAAATATATAATAAGTTGTGTTGAATATCAAATCAACGATGTACTTACCTTTCAAATTAACGAAAAAATATTAATCTCAGTTTGCATTAGATTTTAGAAAAATTCAATACCCTCCAAAACATCAGTAATGCTGTCATTTTCTCCTCAGACCTATCTAAGGTCGGTACGGTTAGCCGGAATATTGCTCTGTTTTGCTTTGGAAACCACTCTGCATATTTAATCTAGATGCAGTACGACCATATATTACATATTACTCAAGTCGGCTTCTGATGACATTGTTAATTCAAATTTTTTTTTATGTCTAGTTCATGTTGGTGAGACTGTACGTTAGTTTTGACGTAATTTTAGTAAAATAAACAGGAGACGACATATTTTTAATCATTAGACCGTTTTATTTTGGATAAACTAGGTTTAAACATAGATAAAACATACTCCTTAAACAAAATAACAAGAATTGTTTTCAGCTAATCCAAAATGATGACAAATCTACTAAAGGAGCAGGTTTAATATATGGTATGACGTACTGTATGGAGTTCATGTTTTTTAGGGCCCGGAATTGGAATCAATGGCCATGTATTTTTTGCAGGAATGCTCTGGTCGTTGAGTTTTTTCTTTCAGTCAGTCCCACCACGGCCACAAACGTGAGCATTTATTAAAAGCATAAAATTGCTAAATAACGTGTTTAAGACGGCATTTTGTTAAGGCTAAACAAGTCAATTCTTAAAAAAAACTTGCTCTGATTCCAAAGAGGAGTGTTATTCAAGCAGTTAACTTAGGCCTATGGGAATTATATAGTTTTTAATAAAGATTTGAAGAAATGTGACCAGACTAGGGGGCGGAAAATTATTTGGGCCTAGGGGCGCAAAAATGCTAAATCTGGCCCTGCAGCAAATCATTGTACTACAGATCATACAGAAATAAAGTACTTAGGGAAATTAAAGTTTTGACATTTTGAAACTAGACGCTTGGAGATGAGTTGTGTTCCCAGCTACTGTTCATACAATATGTATGTTGAATTGTAGCTTGCCTTCTTTATTTTAAGACCTATTAATGATAGTATCAAGCAAAAAATACACATAAACTAAAAAAAAAGTTGTTAGAAAGAACAGTATACAATTATTCGACAAAACGCCATCTTGAACTTTGGACTTCCGACACTCAGATTTCTTTAGACTTTTTTCCTCGTAAATGTACATAATTCTTAGTAAAAATAACCAATAAAACAATATAAATCAATTTTCTTAGGGTTGTCGTACAGATTTACTCAACTAAACTATTTCACTATTTGTTTATTTATTTGTCTCCTCTGTTAGTGACAACAGTTCTGACCAGGTAATAAAATAACTGTTAAAATTGGCCTTGTAAATTTTTTCATAATGAACATATTTCTTCAGATTAATCTTTGATCAACATCAAAGATTAATCTGAAGAAATATGTTCATTATGAAAAAATTGACCATGCCAATTTTAACAGTTATTTTTTTACCTGGTCAGAATTGTTGTCACTGACAGAGGAGACAAATAAATAAACAAATAGTTTAGTTGAGTAAATCTGTACGACAACCCTAAGGAAATTTATTTATATTGTTTTATTGGTCAGATATGAGCAGGCCTTATAGGATTTTAAAGCAATTCTTTGTGTCTGAAATGAAGAGTGGAAATATAAATCCTTTAAAATAAATGAGGCATACAATTAAAAAATATATAAATAAACAACCAACAAAATATTTTTACAGGATTTTTATTTCAGCCTATGAAAGTGAATGCTACAGTTGTGATTATATAAAATAAATACTTACGTTTATGAATAAAGCCGGTTTTTCCTAGGCGCGGAAGTGGAGAGCGGAGAGAGGAAACGCGGAGAGTGGACTACACTTGTCTTAGGTAATTTAATGTTACTGTTTTCCTAGAAGCGGAGCAGAACACCATGTTAATCTCGTTTCTGTTCTCCGCGTTCCTCTCTCCACTCTCCACTTCTGCGCATAGGAAAACCCAGCTTAAAGTAAATTTGACAATTTTTGTAAAATATCAAAGGTGTTTTATGGTTATATATTTTCCTTTTAACTCTACTCTTAGGAAGTTGCAAAAATAATTTGTTGCTACATACACATAATACTGTATCTTAATTATTTTAAAATTGTTTTTGTTAAGAAATAAGTACATATAATAAATATACATCAGTTTCCAAGAGGTCTCATGATCTTAGACCGTATGAGGTCTGTCACTTTTCTTGACATGTTTAATTTATTTGATAAAGAGTTTTTAAAGCTAGCTTTTTATTAGGGGTGTGCGATGCATCGAAAATGCATCGAAATTTCGATTCGATTCGATGCATCGAATCGCGATTCGATTCAGTGGTGGTCAAAAAACGATTCGATTCACGAGGGAGTCAGTATCCATATACGAAAAACGCCTGCAGAAAGTCAATGCAATACCCGCAATACAGGAGCGCGTTGCTGTTGAGTTTCCTTTACGAAGGCGTTCTTATTTAATACATTCTTTGCATTAAATATAGCTTTAATTGTTTTATATTTTTTTGTTTTGACATTGCAAATGATTAGAGGTTTGTTTTTTGTCTTGATGTAAGCAGTGTGTGAAATATTTTACTACTGTGAACCTAGCCAAAACAAGGTAGGCTACTCCAAAATCATTTTAAAAATAAGTCTGAAAAATTGTTACTTAATACTTAACTAGTAAGATTAATGTTATAGACTGATTCATTTGGTATTTTTGTTAGGTGTCTGCCGGTCCCCGTCCCCGAATATTTGTTGGGGCAGAAGAAAAAAAAAGAATAATTTATTTCCAAAGAAACACTCTTATATTATTATATCTATTATTACAGAGGAATTAAAATGTTCAAATGAGAATTAAAAATTAAGTTGGCTCACGACCTTTAAGAATAAAGACACAACAGAGCAAATGCCACACTGCCACTAGCCAGAGCCAGGTCTAGTCGTCTACTGATAAGAGTAAGGCTGTGGTTTCCTAGACGCGTAATAGGTGCGCAGCGGTTTAGATGCGCAGCGTCTTTTATCCAGGTCCAAAAACGCAGCTGCCGTGAGTGGTTTCCTAGACTGCGTACAATACACATGGTTGGTGCGTAACATAAGTTCACGGGAGAGATTACCAGTGGCTACTATGATGTTATAGGATGATTTAGATAATGAAATGGATATTTTGGCATTAAAAGCTTTGAAGAAGCGTAAGCAGTGAAAAGTACATGTTAGGAACTATACGTGGCCCTCACGCATCTTTTAACTGTAGTGTTAAAGCAAACAATTTAAAATAAAAACAATAAATCTTAATTTACCCTGTCAAACTTTGCTTTTACTGTTATTATATTTACTTAATCGAGATTTTCCGAATCAAAGAAAATACCTTTTACAAGTATAACTGCAATAATCATTTTATACTTATACGCCAACCCCGTAAGAAGTTTGGGTACTATGCTAGTAATTAATATAGAGCTATTACTAAGATGTTCAGGAGTTCTTAAAATAATTATGGGGGCACTTATATTTGGGAGTTGGTTGTGCTGACTTGAAAAGAATATTTGTCAATATTAGGTTTATTTATTAATACAGTAACAACAATAAGAAAATATCTGAGGACAAATTAATTGTAGGGAACATGTAACAAGGGGATTAAATATTAAAATCACACACTATGGGGAAATTAACACTACATAACGAATGATATGAAATTAAAATTTTAATTGTATGAACAAAGTATTTCCATAATATGTCATTAGAAGAGACAAATTCAATCACTTTTTCGTCGTTGTTGGAGAATTTTGCCTTCTGTACTACATTTACTTCCGAATCCATTGCACAAGACACGTCTAAAACGCAGCGTAACTCAGATTCGACTGCTCTGAGAGCAGTCGGTCAAATACGCAGCTATTGGTGCGCGCGTATTAGATGCGCGCGCATTAGATACGCAGCCTAGGAAACCGCTTACACGAAACTCCATAAGACAAGTGTGCTGCGTCTTAGATGCGCACACGCAGCGCATCTATTACGCGTCTAGGAAACCACAGCCTAACAAGACAAAAGCCGTGACGCAACACTAACAGTGCAAAGAAAACAAAGTCAAAAGAATAGAAAGACTATTTATCCAGACATACTAGTATAATCATTTATTGTTTATTCAATACCTAATTAAAAATATATTTTATTATTTTACATAATAAATTATAAACAAAAGAAATATCTGATATAGTGAACAGATCTGTATCTTGGTTAGATGGGGTTAAAAAAATATATTTCTAAGATCCAATACAATATTTACAACTCACAAATTACATTGAATTAATTTCTTTGAAAATAATCTCTAACAGTTTTGTGTTTTTGAATAAAGAAATATATTTCTTTGTCTCTACTCCCTTGTTTCATCACTTGCATTTTGTCAGCAATTGAAGCAACTGGGTAGCAACCGGGTGGTGTAAGAGGGGAGGGGAAGGGTCTATGACCTTGAATTCACACATCGTTGCCCGGGCCTGGCTGATGAGACTGATTCATTGTTTTTGTTGACATACTACTACCCTTCCTTAAGAGAAAAAGTCCCTGCTGTTCCAAAAACATTGAGGGTAGTTTAAAAACATTGACCTGTGTTGCCAAGGGCACTAGGCTAGAAGATAGCATTTAACTTTCTTGTCTCTTGATTTAATATTATTTTAATCTTCTATATATTATTTAAGAGTTACTTTTCGGGTACCTAATTAGTTGTGATATTGTTTGGCTTTATTTTATGGATTTTTAATTCTTTTCATTCATTAGCTATCAAAATCAGTTGTTTTAGGATTTTAATCTCTTGCAGTAGGTCTATACTACTGTATGACATGATATGCATTTTTTAGTCCTTATTAATTATACCATAAACAATGTTTGTATGTTATTTACTGTTTTTGAGTTTTATAGGAAATTAGTTTACACAATATCTTTTCTTCAATGAGTTCTCCACTTGACATGTTGCTTCTAGCCTATTACTATTTTAGGCCCTATAAAAATAATGCCTAGGTAAAGCTGTAGGCCTACTGATGCCAATAATAATTCTTTATTTATGATGATGTAACAAATAATGTAAGTGTGAGGTTATTATACTAAGGAGGTTAGGAGGCAGGGAATGAATGATACATATTGCATGGTGGAAACATATTATTTTTATTTTCTTCTTGCTTGCAGTCCTGAAGCCGGTCCACAGGCCCTAAACTTGTGATATGTAAATTTATTTCTTAATGGTCTTTTTATATTAAGTTCCATTCAAATTTGTTGTAATTTAGCTACCGGCACCTATTTAGTTATTTAAACAGTTATTAAAATGAGAATGAATGTCTTGATAAAAAAAATATTTTCTTCTTTCTTGCAGTTGAGCCAATTCAAGTAAAAATTATGAAATAGGCAAGTAAAGCAGCTCACTGGTATTTCCAGCAGTTATTCTAATACATATGATTGAAAATAAATTTTTTTTCACCTAAAATTCATATGTTAAGTATGAAATAGGCCTAATACCACATCAACAAAAATTTGTATTACACAAATGTGATACATTTTAATTATTGTTAATCCACTCAATTGACAATTATGAATAGAAAAATACCGTATTGCATCGAATCGAGTTGCATCGAATCGAATCGAAAATCTTTTGAATCGAATCGTTGCTTCGAATCGAAAATTTTTTGCTGCTTCGCACACCCCTACTTTTTATCATACTGTTTTTGTTGTTATGAGCGCATTGTTTTCTTGATCCAGTCCACATACAGGGAAACTTTGGTGTATACTCCAGGAAACCCTGGCTCAGCGCATTTGTAACCATAAGACACAATACCAATCAAATAAAAGTTTGATTGCTTTGGCAGAATAAGAGGTCCTCCAGAATCACCCTGTGAACAAAGTGGTTTTCCATTTAATATCACAGTTAGGTATCATACTAATAATGACAGTTTTTTGTGTTACCAGTTAGAGGTTAAACAAGTGATAAGTGAGTGTGGGGGCATGTGCGGTGGGCTGAGACTCGCTGTGTTGTCAACAAGTCACATCATGCCGGATATTGTACGAGTTGTATCATAAATTAGATAAGTTATATATATTTTATGAATAAAATCAAAGTTATAGTTTCCCCTTTTTTAAATAGTCATTGTTATTGATTATATTGTTTACGATTTTCCTGTAAAATATTTGTTCACCAATAACGTTGTTAAATATTTTTTTAACTTCCACAGCCACGACGTCCTCGCGGCCACAATGCCTGGGGCGGCCTTGGGTATGATATATTATACAGAAAGACATGATGAAAATAGGATAAGTTTTTAGAAAGGTATAGGCCACAAGGATTGAGTTTTTGAGACAAATAAGTTATAGGTTATGCACTACCTGCATAATTCTCTAGGTTTAATTCAATTGTGTATAGTGTTGAATGATATAATCTACAAAAGGTTTATGGAATGTCTTACTTGACAGGCATCTCTGCCTTGCGGGGAAAGAGCACAAATGACTCTGGAATCAATAGTAGCCCCCTTGATATTCCTGTAAGCATTGGAACAAAAGTTTTGATCCGATATGTCAATTTGGGCTTCTTGTAGAGCTGTTGTTGAGGGTCCCCCTGCACAAAGAAAACTTGATTAAAGTTACTAAAACCACATAACTTGAAAAGCTAGCTTTTTATCATACTGTTTTTGTTGTTATGAGCGCATCGTTTTCTTGATCCAGTCCACATACAGGGAAACTTTGGTGTATACTCCAGGAAACCCTGGCTCAGCGCATTTGTAACCATAAGACACAATACCAATCAAATAAAAGTTTGATTGCTTTGGCAGAATAAGAGGTCCTCCAGAATCACCCTATGAACAAAATGGTTTTCCATTTAATTCAGATAAAATCCAAAATCCATTGGTGATTTGGCTGGATTTGAACCCCGGACATCAGGCACCGAAGTCCCGCGCTCTAAGTAAGTAAGTAAAGAAAAAAGGCATGGCAAGACCTAAGTAAATTGCTTAACGATGGGTAAAAACCATGAGGTTTATTGATTAATAACATTAACTCATGTTTTTATGTTGTTATCTATAATAGTTTTTACAAAAAAAAAATACATTTGTAAACAAGGCTATTTGTTTATATTGATGCTCACTCCGCTCAATTGGCAGACATGAGGCCGAAACCTAGTATTACAGTTGGATATCATACAAATAATGGCAATATGGTTTATGTAAAATCCCTCATTACAGTTCCACTCTTTAAAACTCTAAATCACCAGTACATGCAAACTTTTTAAGCAATAAAGGCTATCTTGTAGAGGTATGAATGGTATGATCAGGTCGGCCCCGAGGAAGAGACGCCCGAGATGGGATATTAATCTGTTTTATTGCTCTGTTTTAAGAGAAACAGAGCAAGCTTCTGCTGAAACCTTTTGGGTTTGATGGAACACTTCCCACACTGTCGCATTTGGTTTGCTGGTAACAAAGTTTTTTTTAAATAATTGTACACATTAAAAGTTGTATTTTTAGTTTGGATTGTAATATCTTGGCACCTTTTGGCCATTTCTAATTAACACTAATAAAGTGAACTCAGATTGAATAACATCAAGCTGCACGAAACACCATCTGAATAATCACAATGTTATTTAAGCCACTAAATGTAAACAAAGTGACACCTGCTGTAAAATTATGAACAGTAAGAATCAGCTGTAGGCTAATATGTGGTGGTGGCAGGGGTCAGGGAGAAAGCATTGGAAAAGGAATTTGTCTTTCAACCGCACATTAAATTCAGATAGAGTATGATCCCAGCAACCATAATATTGGTTATTCATTTTTAGTAAATTATGCTCAACGATATTGATCCGATTTTTCTTCCCTTTCGTTCTGTATTATTTTGTAATTTGCTAGTTTAGATGATTCCTTGACTAACATACTCTTTTGTTTACCTTTTTATTTATCTTGCAAATAATGTAATGGCGACCAATAAAAAATGAAAAATTTCTAAAAATTTAAATTTACTTAGAACAATGTCCTTTGGTCCGATTTGTACTATTTCAGATCCATACCTTCCCAAAGATGGTTACTAAATGACTATGCTGAATTGTGTGTAGATTGCTTTAAAACAATACCCCCACCGCAGCAAACCTGCAGACTAAGCGAATTTCCATTTCCCTGAATGGATTTACACTAAAATGTCTCCTTAAAAATATCACATTTGTTCCCTATTTAAAAGGAATCAGTTTAAAACAGGGGGGCCACCAGTTGACCGACAAGATACTTGGTCGTTTTGCCACTAGACCGTCTTTTTTAATTAAATAGATAAATACTGAAAACCAGTACGTCGACAAGTTATTTCATCGTCAGTCCAGTTGACCGGCCTGTAAAACTAAATTATTATATACGAGAAACCAACTTGTCGTCAATCGACCCGGCCGACATACCACTTGCTCGTCTTTTAGGTGGGGATGTGTTGAGCAGCAGTGCCAGCGGCGCGCGCAGCTGTGGAGGGCGCTGTAGGCGTACCAACTTCTGTATCTTGTAGCGGCGGTTTTTATTCCGACGATTTCCAGCTATCATAATGCAGCGGACTAGTGAGGTTTTTATTACGCGTAATTGTTTGTTTCTCAATCGATATTTGTTTATATACAGTACAGTGAATATAAATATGCCTATATTAATTTACTTAATTTAAATACACGTTTTTTAGGTACTACATTTAAATTATTGAAGAATTACATGAAATCTATTTGTAAAAACTGACTTTGAACATTTCATTACAGCTAAGAAAGTGGTGTCAATGGGATAGTTAAATTAGAATTCTCCGCGAACAAAGATAAAATGTTCAGATCATCTTCTATATATAAAATAGGCCAACACGAAATTTGTCGGTTGAACTCCTCCGCCATTTCTTAAACGATTTTATCTATTGACGTCTCATTAGAAAGAGCGTGTTGCGTAGATTTGCAAACTGACCTTACATTTTTTTTAAAGCCACTTGGGCTCTGCCTCATTGGCTTTAAAAGTTCCCATGTTATCCTTATGAAGAACATATTTGTTTTCATTATGATCAGCTGGGTATTATATTGCTGGTAATATTTAAGCTGCAATTCAAAGAAATGCGTCCTACAAAAATTAAATCCTTAAAAATTAAATCATTGAAAGGACCCATTTGCCAATTATCTATGATATTAAAACGAAACAGTGTTTTTTTTTTATTTCACGATTCTGAATCAACCACTCGACGGATTTTCATGATTTTTGTGTTGAAAGAAAGATAATTTTGAGAACTAGGGAATGTCGAAGCCATAATTTTAGTTTAGGGTCCCAGTTTTTTTAAGAAATCAGGTTTCCATTTTTTTAAAGTCTATCAGCCGACGCTAAGATTCTAAACTAGCTATTGGCATAAAATAATTTGCTTAACATAACAGCTATAAACATTCAGCTTTTGTGTCACAAATTCAGCATTTGGATAAAAATGTAAAGACATACTTAGGGTTGACTTATTTATACTATGTGTAATGCTAATCATAATAATAAAGTGTACAGTAGTGAGGTTGAGGTAGTATTTTAACTACTTTTAACCAGTGTGACCACCACAATAATAAGCCACAATAATGCATATTATAGTAACTTCCAATTACAGGCCTACCTTAGGGCTATGCCTCATAGATCTATAAAGCAATTATTTTTATCATTAGATATAAAATAAGGACTAACACGATCGGGTGACATTTTTTTGCGAAGCATTCATTTTGGCTTGAAACTGCCAGATATTGTATTTGCGAAGGTTTATATGTATTCCTATACAAAAATAGTTTTTCCAGCATATCTGGAAAAATGCACTCTAAATATGCAAACAAATTCCTGTTCTGAATATAAGAAGGTTTCAACTTACTACAAGATTCCTGTACTGTATGTAGAACGGTGCTCTGCTAGTATAAAATAAAATCGCTGTTTGTATAAATAAATGACGTATACAACTGTAATAGATCGTTAATCAGAAATGTGTAAACTAGTTTAGAAGTATATAAAAAAAATAGCAGAGCATATATACAATTCTAATAAATCACTTATCATTCATTAATTAATTACAAACCAAAAACATACTATAGATTAAAGCAAATTAATTTGTCTCTATAATAATTAAATAGATATCCTTATATATAATACGTGAAGGCGATTTATACGAAACACTACTCCTCCGTTAATAATGGACGGAGTTTTACAAATGATGTGTCAAAATTAAGTATTTTTTATGTAGACGCCCCCTTTCACCAATTCCAGCAATAAAAGTCCTCGGGCTTTGCCCCACAGACCATCTAAATCCCAATGTATTTCTTATGAAGCAAGAATTTTGTTTACTTAAACATATTAATAACTAGCAGAGCACCCGTCCTTCGTACGGGGTTGGTATATAAGTATAAAATGCTTATTTCAGCTATACTTAAGCTTTGAGTTTGCAATGGGGGGGGACACAGTTTGATAAAATTTACGGTATGATATAGTATAACACATCTACCATTGCCATAATGTTCTACCACTGCACCTAAACAATAGAAAAGATAAATTATCAAACATTCGCACAATATCTCAAATTATTCATTAAATAAAAAAATCAAACCTAACTGTAAACAATCCTTTTTTGACTTGACAGTTCTCATTGTGTATCACAGCTTTTTGTTGCTGCTTAGTTCAAATTAGCTGTTGTCATATATGCAAAAACAAAATAATAATAGTGCTGCACCCAGTTGGGAAACCTTATAACTTTTTAATGCTCTTGCATATTATAGAACCAACTTGTAAAGTTGAAACAGCTGACTAAATTCTTTAATTCCCTTTAAATATGAATACTCATAAGGTTAACATGGGGAACTACAGAGCCACTGGGGCGGAGCCCGAAATGATTTTTGAGATAAGAATATGCCTTAATGTTAATAGGAAATGTTAGCTATCATCATGCCAAATTTCAGACCAATCCGTCTAGTAGTTTATGCGTGATTGAGCAACACACAAACATACACACAAACTTTCAAATTTATAATATTAGTAAGATTTGTATAAATTGCATATAGTCCACTGTCAAATGTACACCCGTGTGCTCCTTGATGAGGCAGGTGTGGGAGTAGTCTTAATCTCTTCGTTTGACCTTTGAGAAATACAATTTCGATGGTGGCAATCTTGAAAATGATAAGCGTTTGAACGCTGTGGGTAAAAACAAAATGGCCGCCATTTAAAATGTTTAAAGTCAAATTCCATGAAAACCAGCTAATAAAACAAAATTTTGCAACACATTATTTAAAGTCCTTTTTATTACAAATCGAATGACACTTTATTTGCGAAAATCGGATAATAAATAAAAAAGTTATGTAACTTTTATTATTAATAGTAATTATCAAAATGGCAGTCATTTTGAAATGACAAAGTTAAATTCCATAGAAACTAGTGACAAAAACATAATAAAAGTTACATAACTTTTTTATTTATTATCCGATTTTCACAAATAAAGTGTAGTTCGATTTGTAATAAAAAGGACTTTACATATTGTGTTTCAAAGTTTTGTTTTTAATTCTGGTTTTCATGGAATTTGACTATAAAGAATTTTAATGGCCGCCATTTTGAAATTCGATGA